AAGAGTTTTCTTCCTTTCCCTGTATTTATCTTATCGCAATACTTGTAAAGGAGTATTTAGTAAAAGTATAAATACCATGTTTCGATGGCAATCGATGATTCTTGAAAATTTAAAATGCTGGGGTTTTGTACGGGAACAGAGAAGTGTGAACCAACAGGTTATGACTTTTTTCTCTCCGAGAAATGGGCAGCCAACTTTCAAGAAACTTGAAAGATTGTCCTTAAACAGGGTGGTCTAGTTACTTACTGTCCCCATGATAGCAGGTGTGTTCGTGAGACAGTCGGCACGCCCTATGCGAAATGGAGACGCTGTCAGCGTGTTATCAGTGACAGGTCGCTGCCTGTCGGGACGACGGGCTATTAAAGCTCCCTTCGAAGCCGACAATTGAGGTTCGTGAACCGGTTTTTGAACCCCTTTAAGCCCGATGTGAATAGAGATGAGAAAGGTACACACGTGTACCTTCTGTACCTTTTCGACGAACGTATTTTACGACATACGCTCGTACCTCATAACGTACAAAATGTGTACCCGACCGTTTCTGCTTTGCCGTGTAGAGGGATCCGAGGGAGAAGAGTTTAAATCGGGGAAGGAACGCCTCACGAGGGGAACCCTATTCTTGCATTCGTGAGAACGACTTTCCTCCTTCGGCTCGCACGGATGAGAGCCGAAGGAGAACCGTCCGTTAGCATTCGGGGCATCGAGACGCATGCTGCTGCGAATTCGGCGCGACTTCGCTCGTATCGTGGGAACTTCGTTTTCGTCGAACGATCTGCTCGATGTCGGGGCCTCGACGTGCGCGCCCGTCCGTCCGAGGACGTCCGACGACGGACCGCGAGGATCCGTCTCGCGTACCCTACCTTCACGTCGAACGCGAGAAGAGAGAGTCGCGTGCGGTTTCCGCGACGAAGAACGACGTCGTCGGAGCGAGTACGAGCGACCTCTTTCGACGTCCCGTACAGGATTCATCGGAGAAGAGATCTGGAATCCGAACACTCCGTTGAACGAAGACTGCCTGTATCTGAACGTCTGGGTGACGGAGAAGGTGCAGAATTCCGGCACGAAGGACGCGCCCGTCATGGTTTGGATCTACGGAGGAGGATACATGAGTGGGACTTCCACGCTCGAGATCTACGACGGTGCCATCCTTGCGGCTTCGCGAGACGTCATCGTCGCTTCCATGAACTATCGAGTCGGTGCTTTCGGCTTCCTCTGCTTCGGCGTTCCGGAGGCTCCGTGCAATCAAGGACTCTGGGATCAAGCCATGGCTCTCAGGTGGATCCAGGTGGGCTCTTCTTTTTTCCCGGACGGCGTCGCCGGAGTTCGTCCGCGAGACGGCTCGGAAGGTACGGTCGCGACTCGCCGACCGACGTCGGGGTCTCGTCTCGAACGGTACTCGCAAGGATCTCGTACCTCGACCTCCCCGCTCGAGGAATCGCCCTTTAATTTACGCGATTTCGACTAAAGAACCTCGAGAAAGCGAGATCTGGTTTTCCGTCGTTCGTGCAAGAAGTGGATCGGGCGACGATTGCGACACCGTTTTTTTTTTTCCCAACGAGCCGAGAAAAGAAAAACCTCTGATACGTGATACGCCGGAAAAACATATGGCGTACCGTGAGTACGAAAAAAAAGTTTGTTTTTTTCCCCTTTGGAACGATGGAACGGAACAGAAATCGGAACGCGTGGCGATCGCGTAGAACGGAACGGCACGGGGAACGAAAAAAATCTCGTTCCGAAGCCCCGGTTTGAATACCGCTGCTAGATCGAGCGACGCGATGGGGTGGCGAGGAAACCGAGAACGTTCGGACGAAGGAAATCGGGAGCGGTTCGTTTCTCGCTCGAGGAGAAACGAACCGTTCCCGCCGCACGCCCGGTTCGATCGACGTCCGAGGCCGCTCGGACGACGACCTCTCGCCGGAACGAGAGCGTCCGAGTCGGAGCGGATCGAGTCTCGCGAAGGTGAAAGTTTTCCGCTCGGATCGCCTTTCGGCGGATGCCGAACGGACCGACGTCCGAGGGAGGATCTCGCGCGTCGCCGCATTCGTCTCTCTGCGGGCGAGACGATCCGTTCGCCTCGCCGGATTCGGTACCGAACGGCGCGTCGAAGAGGGGACTGTCGATCGCAGGATAACATCGAGCATTTCGGAGGGGACTCGAGGAAGGTGACCGGATTCGGAGAGAGCGCCGGAGGAGGGAGCGTGAGCACTCTGCTTCTCTCCCCGGCCACGAGACATCTGCTCCGCCGGGGGATCCTGCAGAGCGGCACCATCAACGCACCGTGGAGCTACAAGACCTTCGACGAAGAACGACACGCGTCTGCCGATCTGGTCAAGTGAGTCGGTCCCGGATCTCTTTCGCGTCCGCTCCGAGTCGCGAGTTTCTTTCGATCCTCGCGGAGCGGGGTGCGACCTCGTCGACGCGCGCGCACGGACTCGGATCGCGAACGCGAAGGTCGCCGTTCGGAGCGGCCGTTCCGCGCCGCGAGTCCGCCGTCCGCCGCGACGCGGGATCGTTTCTCGAGTCTCTTCCCTCGCGTTCTAGATTGACGGAGTGCGGGGACGTGTCGGAGACTCGGAACGCGGGCCTGTCTCGGGCCTTGGGATGTCTTCGCGAGACCCCTGCTGCCAACATCTCCGTTCTCCAATGGTACCTCTATAAGGTGCGCTTCCGGTTCCCTTTCTCCGATTTTTACGTCGGGCGGGCATCGTCGTCGGGCCGATTCGACCGACCGACGGCGGTCGGAAGAAAGGCAGTCGGAGAGACGCGTCGGGAGAGCCGATCGCGGTTTCGAAAAAGAGTCGGAACGACTCGTATCGCGACCGCCGTCGAATGCCAGACGTCTCTCGGTCCGAGAGTGCGATGCGAGAGACCGAAGGAGACTCGAGTCTCGACGACGTCGGGTGGGCGTCGTCGGACCGACGACCGCTCGTGGCACCGTCGACCGACCGAACCCGCTCTCGCGATCGACTTCGGACGCCGGGAATCGCGAATCGAGTTCGCGAGTGCGAGCGCGCGTCTTCGCTCCGGCGTCCGCGACGCAGGCGGCCGATCGTTCGACTCGATCGGTCCCGCGACGACGCTTCCCCGACGACGCGATCGATCGAACTCGTTCGCGGATGCGAAATTCTTCGCGGTATCGAGTCTCGCGAAGACGCTCGGATCGCCTTCGGAGAGAGGATCTCTCATCCTGCGTCTCGCGAGGGGCCTTCCGTGAGTTTCGACGCCGCATTTTCGTCTCCCCGTCGGCAAAAGCCATCGGGAAACTCCACGATCGGCCGTGCCGAAAGGGTGCTCTCTCCGTGCGTTTCTGCAAGATTTCACCTCGATCGGCTTCTCGTCGCGGTGCGAGCGGTGCTCCGACCGAGAAACGCTTCACGACCGGAAAGTCGACTCCACGGGTCGACTTCCGCGTCCGAAAATTCCTTCTCGGCAGGTGTCGTTTTCGAGACTTCGAACGACGTCGGAGCGCGTTTGCCTCGCGGCCGTGCGACGAAGGGAACCGGAAGGAAGACGGCCTCGACGGCCTGCCGGGATGGAACGTTTTGCGTCGCGAGGACTCGGTCCGAGCCGAGAGTCGCAGCCGAAGGATATACGCCTCGGCGTGAACGGCAAGAATGTTTTCGTTCGCATCCCCGACGAGGGTGCGACGTCGCGTGGACGTCGAGAGATCCGACGAAGGAGTGAAGCGTGGAGTTTACGGTCGAGCTCGACTCGACCGGAAGATAAAAACGCCTTGCAGAAACTCGCCTCGCGCTCCTCGTGCGCGTCGCGATCCGTCGGCTTTCCCGCACCCCGACGGGCTCTCGCCGGCGAGAGTCGAACGGCACGAGAACGTTCCGTTCGTCGAAAACGTTCTCGCGAATCGCGGAATCGCCCTTCGCTCCGCTTCGCGGTTTCGTTCGCGCGGAGGCGAAGACGGCAAGCCGCTCGGTCGGTCGGCGAGGCGCTCGCGTTTCCGTCGTTTCGCTCTCTCGAGGTCCGGACGTCGAGTTCCGATGCGCGCAAGCGACGGACGACGGCACGACCGATCGCGAAACGCGAGAGAGAGAGGAACCCCGTCGGAAGTTCACCGATGCGTTCCGTCGATTTTCAGGTGATGGACTTCCCCTTCGCACCGACCGTGGACGGAGATCTCCTGCCGAAGCATCCGGTCGTCATGCTTCAAGAAGGGGATTTCTCGAACGTCGAACTCATCGTCGGTTCGAACAGAGACGAAGGTGAGCGTCCGCGAGAGAGGTCGGGTCCCGGCGCCGGTCGAAACGGCCCCGTCGTGCCCGAGGCGAACGGAAGAAGATCCCGTCGGAGAGAAGGGAACCTCCCCGACCGTCGACCGCGATGGAATCGGTGCTCGTCCGGGCTCGGTCCGCATCGAGACTCGGACGACCTTCGGCACGTCGGCGAGAGGATCTCCGCGATTCCCTTTCCGAGCGTGCGTCGAACCGGAGGAGTTACCCCGGACGACACGAGACGAGCAGTCTGGGGGATGTCCATCGCGAACTCGAGAGCATCGTTCGGCGAAGACCGTCCGAACGGAATCTTTTGCACTCCCGCGAGCACTCCGAGTCCACCCGGAGTCCACCCCGAGTCCACCCCGAGTCCACCCCGAGTCCACCCCGAGTCGTCTCCTTTGAGATTCGGCCGGTCGGGGTGTCGTCGAAGGACGTCGTCCGATCGGGACTCTCGAGCCCTCTCGAACTCGGGTCGTCGAAGAGTGCCGAATCCTCACGCCTCGACGGTCGGGCGAGTCGAGCCCTAAGGAAGAGGGATTCCGGGGACGTCGATGCGAACCGAGATCGTTTACACCCCGGTGCACGTTTCGGCGCTTCTTCTTCCTAAGAGGGGCATTTCGAAAGTTCCCGGATTTTTTCCTCGACGATCGGTTCCGAACGAGATCGGCCGGAAGAGTCGAACGAGGAGACGCGACCCTTGCGAGTGCTCGTCGGTCGGAACCCGTCGAACTCGCGAATTCCGCGAAACGGACCCTCGGAGAATTCGCGGACGAGACGTTTCGCTCCGGCAACGAACGTCATCGATGGAAGTTTTCGGGTGCACGTCTCTCTTCTCGTCGTTCGAGTCCGTCTTTCGCACGAGGTCGTCTTCGAGCACCGGTGCGAGACTCGGATCGGAGCGGTTCGAAGCGATGGAGTCTTCGGCGAAGGAGGCCGAAAAGGCCGGGAAAAAATCGATCGATCGGAAAGAATTCTCGCATTCCACCGAGCGAGTCGTTCTGGGGATCGAAGAGCGAAGAGAACTCGGGAGACCCGCGACGGCTTCCGCGCGTCCGAATCTTCCGTCGGAGGAAGACCGCGTTTCGGTGCTCGTCGATCGACGTCGAAGCGCGTCGTCGGAAACTGCCGATGCGACGGAGCGATCTCGTCGCATTTCGCGCGAAATTTGCATTTCATCCCTTCCGTCCCGGAAACCCCATCCCTTCGGGGATCCCCGGGATTCCCGATCCCCTCGCGCGTTCGTCTCCGCACGGTCGGATGTTCCGAGCTCGGCTCGCGTTCGCGAGCCACACGCGTACGCGTGCACCACCCGTGCGATACGCTCGGCGCGTGACGTAAACGTCCGCGTTTTCTGAGCACCCAGTATCGTGCACCTGCGGGCCGAGTGTGGCTCACGCGTACGAGTACGGTCGGTCCGCGACGAGCAGAGCCACGATTCGCCTTTCTACACGTGTAAGCACGGTACGAACGAGGTGCATGCAGTTTTTAAACCGGAGGGTTTAAAAACCGCATACACCTCTTATTCACCGTATTCCCGTATTCGTTCCTCGCCTGTGACCCGTTTCATCCCTTTCGCGGTTCGAAGCGGAGGAGAGCTCGATCGAGAGCCACCTCTGATCGGTTCGATCGGAGGTGGAGTACTGCCCGTCGAGCCGACTCCTGCAGTTCTTAACGGGCCGGAACGCGCAAGAGATTTGGAGGGAAATACGGCCGTCGACGGGATCGCTCGTCTCCGGAAAGAGCCATCTCGATCCTTCGACGAGCGACGTTCCTTTCGATCGGGTTCCTTTCGTTCGGGTCGAATGCCTCGTTTCCCGTTCTTTCGAATCCGATCGATCGTCTTCGGCAGACGGTCGTCTCGGGAAGATCGGCTCGCTTCTGCGAGCGACGTGCACTTTCGCCTTCTCTCTCGATCTCTCGGGGCCGATCGCACGAACGATGTTTTCCCGGTTTTTTTTCGAAAGTCATCGGTCGACCGATGTCGAAGGTCAAAAATGGATCGCACGAACGCTATCTTCCTTTAACCATCGTCTGACCGATGTCTAACAGAAGCCGAAAAAGGTGTCGTTTCCAGACGAGGGATGGGGCACGTTTTGCCGATATTTATGCCAGCTTTCGTGTACCGTCTCGATGAGTATAGTGCTGCAGTGTACAGGTGAAGCACGGTGGATTCTGTTCATGGATCCGCTCGATGACGACGACGTGCTCTCGTCGTCGCATGGGAGGAATAAACATAGGTTCTGGGCTGAATTCCTTCGAAGAATATGTCGATTAGAACTTCCGCGTGAGATACCGATTTGGAAAGGGATCAGGGTATGATGTCGACCTGCTTCGCGCGAAACTCGAAAGGATTTGTCATCACGTGACCAGGATCCACACGCAATTCCCAAATATCCTCATTTTGCAATCGTAGACAAATGATACTCCTATTTTCGCATTTCCTACTTCTCCGTGTGTCCAAAACGAATCCTTGGCTTTACCTCCGATACATCGAAATACCGAGTAAGGTCAGAGGAGAACTCACCGGTTTCCAGGCACGATCATTTGTCGTGCAAGGAAAGCGCATTCTGTCTCTCTCTATTCTCCTTTACGAGCTCTGCGAGATGTCTGAGGAAAGGTCCTCACTTTTTCACTCGATTCGCTCGGTTTTTTTGGAGTCCGTAGTGTATCACTCGACGACCGAGGAGTCAGAACGTGCTATACGAACCATGAGGGGTGTTTAGCCATCGTCTAACCATCGGCTACGAAAACATGGCTTAGGGATCGTTCACGCGATCGAAAGTAGACAGCGGTTAACCGATGTTTTCGTCGACGATGACTATCGATGATCGATGTCTAAAATAAACATCGTTCGTGCGATCGGCCCTCGGTCGCTCTCCCAGATCGTCCCCGATGGAACTCGAGCTCGAAGGTTACCAACGAACGAACGAAAGGACTCCTTCGAGAACTCCTTCGAAGAAGAATCTCTTCTCGCGAGCTCGGTTCGAGTTCCTCGTCGAGCGTCGAAAGCTTCGTGGACGCGGGAACGATCCGTTCGCTTTCCTCTTCCTCCCGATTCCTTCGTTTCGTTCGGTATCGCCTCGTTTTTCTCCCCATTTTTGTTCTCGTATTTTGGTTTCTTTTCGTTTTTTTTTTTTCGCGGAACGCCATCGGGTCGTTTCGGTTCGGGCACGCACGATCGCGCGGAACCCCGATCGCCGGACTCGGCCGGATCCTCGACGAGCGAGAGGCTCTCTCCGCGTCTTGCCGACGCCGGAGACGGCCGGAAGCGCGACGGACTGCCGATTCGCTCCTCGATGACGGAACCGGTGGGAGAGCGAGACGCACGTCCGGTCTCTCTCTCGCCCCTGCAGGAACCTACTTCGTCTTGTACGACTTCATCAACGCTTTCAACAAGGACGATCCGTCGCTCCTGACGCGAGATCAATACCTCGCCATCATGAGCGAGATCTTCAAGCAGATGAGTCCCATCCAGAAGGAAGCCATCATCTTTCAGGTACGACCCCTCTCTCTCTCTCTCTCTCTCTCTCTCCGTTCGTGCTCTCTCCGATCGCCGCGACTCCGTCTCCTTCCAGTACACGGATTGGGACTACATGGACAACGGGTTGAAAAACCAGAAGATGATCGCCAGCGCCGTGGGCGATTATTTTTTCGTGTGTCCCTCGAATTTCTTCGCTCAGCAATTCGCACTCGGAGGAGCTACGGTCTACTATTATTACTTCACGTGGGTGAGTCTTTCGTCGGAACCGGGGGTTAAGGGGGTTAGGGGGGGTCAGGGGAGTCAGGGGGGTCTGGGGGGTCGGAACCGCTGCGACGTCCTCCGCCTTCCGTTGCAGAGAACGAGCTCCAATCCGTGGGGAAGGTGGATGGGAGTGATGCACGGAGACGAGATCGACTACGTGTTCGGGGTCCCCTTCAATCGATCTCGGAACCATCTCCCGATCGAGAGGGCCTTGAGCGAACGGATCATGACGCACTTCGCCCGTTTCGCCGAGACCGGGTGAGTCGCGGGGGATCCCCCACCCCCTTCCGCGAACCGGAAGCGTCCGACTCCACGCCGTTCCGTCGTGCAGGAGTCCCGCGAAGGACGAGCCGGAGTGGCCCCCTTACACGCGGTCGGAGCCCAAGTATTACGTCTTCGACGCCGAGAAGAGAGGCCTCGGCAGCGGACCGAGGGCCTTCGACTGCGCCTTCTGGAACGAATTCATGCCCCATCTCGGCCGGCAGGAACACGCCCTTCCAGGTCTGCGTCTCTCTCCTTCCCGCCCGAAGGGTGCGGCGAGCGTCCGCGGATCCTCGCTTCCGTCGCGGCGGAGCCGTGCGAGCGAGGCCTGCGGTCGCCGACCCGTCGCGCGTCGTCGGAAAGGGTCGAAACGAGTCCTTTCTGGGGGTGCTTCGCTTTCGCCCGCGTTCTCGTCTTGCCACCCGACCCGAGGCACGAGCGCTTCCCCACCGCGACGGAGAGCGGCAACGCCGGAAGACCGCATCTCGACGGAGAAGAGTAGGCGTCGTACGATAGAGATGGCGGACGCGTCTGCCGAAATGCGAAAGAAACGACAGAACACGGTCACTGGTTCTTTCGCGATGGGATCCAGAGGAGCCCTTTCGGACTTTTTCGCCTTTTCCGTTCGTCACCGGCTGCGAAACGTCGCAGGTGAGTGGGGAAATGCGAAGCCCCACGCGGGATCGTTCTCGTTTCCTCGCGAGAAACTCGGCGCGTTCGCGATGAGGCTCCGGTGAAAAATAAAAAAGGATGACACTATATCCTCGAGAACGTCTCTCGAAATGGAATGCCGACCGAACATCTGGAGTCGTTTCGCTTCGTGGCTTCTCGAGGAACGTTCGTTGCGTTGCGTTTCGTGGGAATGCGGGTATCGGGCTGCTTTTTTTTCCTCATAGTTATCGCAAGTACGTGACAAAATATCGACATTGCAAAAAATAATCCGTAAATGAAAAAAAAGGCACGTATAAAATTCGAAGACGAACGGAGAAGAGAAAAGAAGCCGAGGGCGTTCCCGACGCGTTCGTGCGCGGGTGCCGTCGCTCGCGATCCGACTCCGATCGCGATGGTGGTACCGTGACGAGATGCGAGACGGTTCGACCGCAGGAACGAGAGCGTATCGACGAGACGGAGACGACCGACCGGAGAGATGGAACGGTTCGCTCGGGTGACGGAGAAGAGGACGTCCACGCGTACGTACGCGGAAACACCGAACGGAACCGTAGGAGTCTCGAGTCTCCGGGGCGTCGAAGACTCCCGGTCTCTCGGAGGTGGGAGGTGACTCCTCCCCCTGGTATCTGCCGGCCACCCCACGAGGTCCACGAAGCAAATCCGATCGGCTGAAATAGGCTTTTATAAATTAAATAATATAAAAAAAAGGATTAAAATGGAAAACGTGAAGGAGTCGATCGGTTTTGGGATTCGACATCCTCGAGACGTCTTCCGGGGGAAACGAAATGGGGTCCGCATCCGGGCCGAGAAGCGAACGAAAAAAGTCAACGAAAAAGAAAGCATCATCCGGAGCGACCTCGATGGCGAGTCGGGAAAAACGCATTTACGAATCTCGACGGCGACGGATCGAAACCGCGAGAGTCGACGAGATCCGGGAGCGGTCGTTCGAGAACGGCCGGAAGATCGAGGGCTGCGTTGCCGCACTCTCCCGGGAAGTGCTGGGGAAGTGGGAAAATGCAACGAAAGTGCGAGGCGGGCGAGTACGAATGCGAGGAAGTGGTGCCGAGCCCTTTCGGGATTCCGAATCCTCCAGTTTCGAGACTCCTGGAGATTCGTGCGCGGTGCGGGAGCGAAAATCGGTGCGAAAACGACGGAGCGAAAATGACGGAGCTTTTCTGTCGTCCTTCGGCTCGACGAGTCGTCTCCCGAGGCGAGTAGGGCGTCCCTCTCGTCCCTCTCGTCCTGACGTTTTTTGGGCTTTCCCCCGGGGTCGCTCGCGGACGACCGACACCTCGTTCGTCCGTCCGGGAGGAGTTTCTCGCAACGACACGGACGGATGCGGACGAGACTCTCGCTCGCAGACGCGCAGGCGCACGGCAGCGGCGAACGTCTCGAGACCGCGTGCGTCGTCGGTATCGGCATCGCACGAGGGAAGTCGACCTCGACCTCGACCTCGACCTCGACGACGACCTCCGACCTCCGACCTCGACCTCGATCTCGGACGGATTCGCGCCGGGAAGCGGTCGGGCTCGTCCGATGCCGTTCGTTCGGATCGACGGTCGCCTTCCGCCGACGATCGCGTGCGAACGGTGGCACGTCGACGGACGGACGGTCGGCCGACGCGTTCGGGGCGTTCGCGTCGAGGAATGACGGGTCTTTCCGCGACCTTCGCCGCCCTCGCGCAAGATCGGGCTCTTCGCACTCTCGTCGGAGCGAACGTCGGAAGAGTGCGCGTCGGAACGGTACGGCGAAATCGATTCCAGCGGCGAGAGCGTCGCGTCTCGCGGCGCCGACGAAAGCGCGACGCTCGAAACGCGACGGTACGCTCCCGAAAGAACTCCATCCGTCGGTGGAGCCGGGCGTCGGTTTCGCGCGGTGCCGACGCGAAGAAGAGCGACGCGTCCGCGTGGGGTCGTCGGGGTCGTCCCGTCGCGGGGTCGCGAAAAGAACACGCAGAGTACCGATTTTTTTATACCCGAAGGGATGTCGTTTCGCGCGCGTCCGAGCCTCCGCGGCGTCGAGAACGATCGGCTCCCTCTCCCATCGCATCGGTCGGATCTCGTCGCACTCATCCGCGAGCCCCGTCCGCGATCCGGCGAAAGGATCGGCCGCTAGGTGAACGATGGCGGCCTGTGGGGGCCGGGGTGTGCCGAGGACGCCTCGCGCGAGGCTCGATCGACCGGGACGTTTCCGTCTTTCCACCCGCTTTCATCCGACGCGTCCCCGAGAACGGAACGTTCGCATCCGGCGAGCCGAAGACTCGGGAACGTCCGGGGCGGTGAGCTCCTCCGCGCCCGCGATCGCTCCGTCGCGGACGTTCGACCGCGGAGGACGTCGCTCGATGCCCGCGACGACGGGGCCGAGGTCGAAGCGAGGAGAGCCGCGAGAGCCGTTCGTCTCGCCCTTCGTTCCGTCTCGAGGAAGCGATCCGGGAAAAACGTTCGGGTCGGTGAAATTCGGACGGAAAGAAACGTTTCATCGGATGTTTTCGTTTCAGCCGTGTCTTGCAGCGGGGAGAGCGTGGGATCCGGGGGATCTTCCGGGATCGTTCCGCCTCGTCTGCTCCTCTCCTTCCTCTCCTTCTTCGTCTTCGCTCGGACGGGAAGAGCCTCGTCGAGCCTCGTCCTTCTCTTCGTCCTCGTCGACCCTTTCTCCGCCTCCGCCTTCCTTCGCCAATGACCCCGGCGTCTCCGCGCCCTTCCGGGACGTCGACGGAACCGACGTCTCCGCTGCGAGCTCGAAGAACGAAGAGGAAAGCGGGATCGGGCGGAAGAACCGACGGCGACTCGGATCCTCGTCTCTCGGCCCGCTGCCCCGGCCGAACCGGAGAGACTCGGAACGTGGATCGCGGATGCTCTCTCGGGCGAGGGAAGGAGCCGGAATCCACCTCCGTGCGGGAGCGTGCCTCGAATCCCCGGTCTCCGGAACGACCGTCGATCCCCCGCGAAGCACGCGTGACTTCCGAAGCGGGAGATTCCGACCCGTTTCGCACGTCTCGCGAGTGCGGCATCGCTCTCCGGTCCTTCTCCGTCTCCGGACGGCAGAGATCGGAGAAGGATGCGACGGATCGTCGCTGCGTTCGTCCGTTCTCTTTCGCGGGGATCGACGGTTCTCTCCGTTCGATCGACCGCTTCTTCGCTCGGAAAGCTCGCGAGCGAAAGACTCGAAGGAGAGAATTTTTTTCGGGAAATTCCAAAGGAAGCAATTTTCATCTCGTCTCGATTTTCATCCATCGCTCGCAGATTCGTGGGAAAGCCGAGGCATCCTGCGAGTTCGTCTCGGTCGTTCGACGGAACGATGGTAACGAGTCGGGCTCGAGTCGAAAGTCGGTGGAATGCCTTTTTAAATGCCGAAACTTCTTTGCGTTCGTCGACCCTCGACGAAGCGGCGTCGCTGGATCGATGACGAAGAGCAAAAAAAAAAAGGTGCGCGTTTTCATCGGCACGAACGCTTCGTCGCTCGTCACCGGCGGCGTGGCGTCGGGGGATGCACCGCACGGCAAAAGAAGCCGACAAAAACGAGGAAAAGACCCAGAAATGCCCGGGAACCCTGGGACATCGTTACGGACTGCCACGGCTTCGTTTCACCGTTTTTCAGAACGTTATACGTTTTTACTACTTCTTCGAGGAACCGTCACGCTCTTTACGGAGCAGAGGGATGTCCTATTTCTCCCATTCCTCTCCGATGACTTGCAAAATTATCGCTGCGCCGATCCCCAAGGGCATCCTCCAAGGCAATCCAAATTCGGCAAATCCAAAACCCCGTTTGGATGACGAAAACCCTGGTTTCGACAATAAATAAGTTCTTTCCACGAACGGAAAGGTACGACCGAGAGTCACGACGTACTCGTACCGTCGGGCCAGGTGGCTCTCGCACGATCCGCAAGTGTTCGCGGACGAGGACACGGACTCGACCTTGCGTTTTCCTCACGTTTCGAATCCTCGCGAACGACCCCGCCGACGGTTCCCTCGGACGCCGGCAGTCGGCATGCGAGTCGTCTATCGCGAGACGGAACATCGACCCGATGTTCCGTCCTCGATAAAACGAGTCACTTCATAAAGGAGATTCTCGTTGCGTACCGGTCTCGCGTCTGAAATTCACGTCTCTTTCCGTCGCGAACGATATCCGAGACTGCTCTTTCGGAAAAAGGGCCATCCTTTCCGTGGAAAGATGTTTCGCGCACGTCTCCACGACACGGTCGACCGACGCAACGGCCCCTCGTTTCCCGTGACAAAAAAAGCAAAAAAAATTCTCGGACAAGAAGTGTTACTTCGTACGTGTCGATCACGTGAATCACGAAAGCGATTCATCTTTTATTACGAGTAAACGAATCGAGAAAACGGTGAAACGAAGCTGGGGCTGCCTGTATCTCGAACGGTATCCCAGAGTTCCCGTGCCCCTTCACTTTTTCCAGCCACGCTACGCTCACGATCGTCACCATCGAAAGCCGTACGGTGACAGATACTTGGTGTCATTCCACGGGTGCAGATCGGTCTAGAATGCTTTCCGCATTCGGCTCGCAGTTTGCTGACGAGTCGCGAAACGTTTCTTTTCGTCGGGACCATTCGTCTGTCGGCATACACGATGCAGTACCTGCACTGCTTCGACAGGACAAAATACCCCGTGCCTTAAGGAAGCATTCATCGTTCTCGCACGAAAGAACAGGGAATAGGGTTTCGCACCGTCTCTGTCCGCCCGGTGTCTCGTTCGACCGTATCGTCTGTATCCCATGCGCGCGCACATTTTCTTCCGGCAGGGGAAACATTCCCAGCACCTTCAACAACAGAGAAGCGAGTGTAACTAGAGGCTTCCACTCCGCTCGAATCCCATTCATTGGCAGGGTCGTAATATAGATGTCACTGTCGACCATCCACCTAGCGGACATTCATCAACTACTCTTTCCATGCTCGGCAGCGAGCCTAACCGCGGGGTATGCACGTGCAGGTTGATAGATCCATTCTATCACAGCTAACTACTCCCCGTTTATTCCTGCTTGTTTATTCACAACTAGGGATGGCTTGGGCTTATGACAGATGAAGAAGACGTCATTTTATTTTACCACTAGCATTAGGCCTAGCCTACATCACTCTGACAGGGAACCGCCATGAACGCTGCCCAAAGGAGGTGTTGATAACACCCCACCAGAGTCTCTGTAATAATTCGACCCTCCCTACCCCTCGGAGTGTCGCCGCCTCTAGTTACACTCTACTCTATGCTTTAACGTTGCACCCAAAGCCCCTCCTCACGAGCAATCGGATCGCAGCCTAGAACGATGGGAACCGTCGAACGCGTAAGAATGGTCAAGATCGCCATCGCCCCGATACCAGGGATGCAGTAAGATTGTAAGAAAATCGTTAACGTCCTGGTCGAGGGGACGGTGAATCGTTTTGTGATCCGACTACATATCATCGATCGCGTTTTGCACTGGGTGAAAGTCGACGAACTATCGTTAGCATTGCACTAGCATGCATCGATGACGATCACTGTAATCACGATGGTATGGTGGTGTGGATCCTCGATAGTCGCCAGAATAGATGAGTCCTGAATAATCGTGCATACGTGCCAGAGCACCTTGAGTCATTTTTATAGTTGTTGTTAGTTGTTGATCAATGCTGTTCTTTTGATATTCATTTTACAATGTTGGAGGAATAAAGGTGGACTTGGAAGGCGGCTTCTTCGACGTTCTCATGCAACTGTGAATGTGATTGAGGGATGGGAATTCCTACACATAAACGAACACTGCAATAATGCAAAATATCAATCATTATGGCTGCAGAATTGGATGAGAGAAAGTAATGTGCAGGTCTACAAAATATGTAAAAAAATAATGAGGACTTTTGTAACAATGAGACCTTGCACGATTCTTTGATTTTGTGACAGTCAGATATTGTTATATTGATATTGAGGTGTAGCATGAAGATGCACGATATGAACCTGCAGGCAGATTCTGCTACTCCCATGGGATAGTCTTTCTATGTGGTCTTTGCCATTTAAAACTTTTGTAAATGCAAAAGCTCAATGCATTAGATGAAGGTTTGATGTCTCTGTGGTTGTTCACATCCTTCAAAAGTAGACATTCCTTTGAAAAACATCCTTTCATTCCATAACTTCTCCCCTTTCGAAACATGTAGACTGAAGGATGCCACAGATGAGGTAAGATGTCGACAAAGCCAGTTTTCGGAAATTGAACATTCAGCTGCAACCCCACAGGATGAACAATCACTTATTTTTTCAAGACAGGCAGACACTTTTACTAGCTTGTTCTTCTGCTGGTCTGATGATATTTATTTACAGTGGGGGAGAAACCACACAGAGCAACAAGAGACAAACATGGAAGATGGGCATCTCATGCTTCCATAGCTTAGCTCTCCTCTTCCTGTTAGGAAAAAAAGCAAAAAATTAATGAAATAGGAATTTTGATTCCAATCCAAGACAAAATGAGAAACACTCACAGAAGGAGAATGAATATGGGAATGGAGAATCACTGGGGATGATGCTCTCATTTTCTCCAATTCCCTATCTGGCAAAGGGAACCTCCTCCCATCATATGGCTGTGCCTATGTGATGAAGGTATTTTTTAATATCAATGAAAATGAATTTTAAAAATGTCCAAAGCCAGACACTGAACCACAATCAACACCACTCCCTCACCCTCAAACTGTCACATAAGAATGAGGAAAACCTTTTCAAGGTTTTCTCTCTTTCACTCTTCCACTCTGGCCAAATCCTCACCACTGCCATAGAAGTGACAGCATTAATGAGGATTTTCATCATCAGTGATCATCTTATGCTAATGGTATAAAGTGAATTTAAAACAATTGAACGTCTCTGGCATGTGACAAGGCTGTAGAGCTGTCACCAACACTCACCAATTGAAAAGGAAGAAATGGGACAAATGCACTGCATGGAAAGGGCAATCAAAACAGTTTAGGTTCTCGACTTGCTTGTACATAACCTCTTCAGGGATAAATTTTTTTATATTGAAAAATTAAAAAATAATTACAGGTATATATTCCCATCAAAAAAACATACAAAAATACCATTCTAGAAATTCATAGAGGAATATGAACCAAAAAATCATATGTACACAAATTTGGCCATTGTGTATATATTCCATGTGAACCACATCCAGCCAAACACCCTCAACTAACAAAATGTTGCAAAAATATTATCACATACTCTTATTTTCATTCCCAGAATGCTTTGCAAGCGGGGGGAACAGTGATACTAACTGCAATGAAAACTCCCAACATATTGGCAACATCTGCAGCAACTGAGCAGTTGGGGATCAGTTTTTGACAAATTTAAAATGCATTGAATCAAATACCCACATGTGTGCCAATATCCCTGAAGAGCTTAAATGATTTCAATGTTAATGACAAATTTCTTGTAACTCTCCTGCCTACTCACCTTTATTCTTTTTAAATCAAAACTTGAGCTTTCAAGAAAAGATAGTGATTCAATTGTGTTAATTATTACCAGCAACTAAAAGACCACTTTGTCTTTGAGTCAATATTTGACACTTGGACAGGTATAACTGGAAGTTAAAAGGGTGAGTCAATCAGTAAGTTGAGTTTTGGCATATAATACAATTACACATTATAAAGTGGACCACTTCTCCATGAACCATCATGGTCCACCTTTCTGCACACAACAAGGTCGTTACTGTTGTTGGACCAATTTGGTTACATCAAAGATGGTGGCACCCTTGTCAATATCGGAAAAGCAGTGCTTTCTGATAATTGATTGCCGGTAGTCTGCGGACACGCTCAAAGTTTCCTTATGATGGTTGACAAACTGTAATAAGATTGCCATCTGCTGTTTGTCCAATTTGCCATCTCCAATGGAAGTCTGCCTCTCACAAAATCCCTAGCAGCACACACACGAGGATTAGGATTGAAGTAATCCCAATTCTCATGTGTGGTTCTAAACATGGCCTCAGGGAAACTACCACCAAAAAATGGCTTGGTAGCAAAAAAAGTTAAATCTCTGAGCTGGACTGTTCTCCATCATCCCACATACAGCCTAGACCTGGCAGTGTTGGGCTTTCATCCATTTGGTGCCCAAAAACATTATCTTCGAAATTCCAATTCCATCCCAACGATGACAAATTCGGTCTTGCCAGTCGGCAACAAATGTTTTTTTTTTTTTTTTCCCCAAACAAGGGATTCACAAATTTGTGACTCATTGGGATAAGTGCATTGAAGAGGAAGACTATGTTGAGAAATAAAAATATATCCAGATCTGTAAGTGTTCTTTCCTTGGAATAAAAAAGTCATTCAACTCACTTATCGACTCACCCTCATATACATGCAAGCAGATAATATGAAGGAAGGCAGAGGTGAACTTAGATAAATAAATAAAAAGGAGTTACTTCCACTGTAAACTAGTTTGATAAGAATGACTGAAAGTCCCATCAGTCATAATGCTGAGTCAGCAGTGCAGAAGTAAGCAACAGTAACCTGAAGCAACACAGACAGAATGTCATGAGGAACCCCTGGTTTCCTTTGGAGGTAGTCATGAGTAACGAACTCAATGACAAGACAGACCTTGCACCTTTTGCTAAATTTAAAGAGAGTTTGCATGTTTCACCTGCAGTCTGAGAATTCCAGAAATTTTTTCAGCCACTTAGTCCTTTCCCTTACCACTTCATCTTGATTGTCAAAGACAATCATGGTAACTTCAAGCGACAATGCAATTTGGCAAAGTGCAAAAAGCAAATGCCACATATCAAAATTATGTTTGAGAATGTTATTTTTGGACTGCTTTCATAAAAGATTTACAACTCTTTGAACATGTCATTGCTTTTCACCTGATGAATTTCAATCAAGCAGAAAAGTTGTACACACAAGAGTAAAAAATGTTTATTTTAACTTACTCAGCAATGACAAGCAGTTTAAAATTGAATGTTTCTTTTGAGGCACCCAGCATATAAAGGCATAAATGAGGTGAATCTGGGGATCCTACCTCTACAGCACTGGACTGATGCAGGTAAGAGAGGGTGCCTGAAGAGGAGGCAGATGTAGAGGTGGTGGAGAAATCCAAGAGACGCTGGTGTCTCGTCTGTGGTCCCTTCCAAGCCGACTGAGACGACGATGACGAGGAGTAGGAGGCACTTCGAACCCGGTGGTTCCCTTCCTCTGGAATGAGAAGAGGAGTTGTCGGTGGACTCCAGCTTGCCTCACTCCATTGATCCCCTGTCACTGGACTCACTGCTTCTGTCAATGACAAATACACTCTACATTTCAAAACCACTGCTCGATGTCAAAAAGTACTCACAGCTATAAAAAATTTACTTGATGAATTACTTAAATGTTCCGTGTTATGCCTGAGTGCATTGAGAAGGTTCAGATCAAAACTTTTCCTAATGTCCCCCTTTTTGAAACCTTGCGGCACTTATTCATTCGCATGTGAAAGAGTCCCTTTTGTCATTTTCCACAAGGAGTTTTTTGTTAAAAAAGACAATGATGCAACTCAATTAGAGGAATATAGGCATAGAGGAATGACATTGGTTGTGACAGAAATGGAATAAAAATGCTGATCAGATGACAAACATTCATCCTCCACAAGATCACCCATAGCAGACACTATCCCATGTTCTATGAGGACCTATCAAAAATTTCAAAATTTTTTGCAGACTCCTCATGGTCCCCTTGAACAATGTCCTCAGGACTATGAACTCATTCCAGTGTGTGTGGAGATGTCGCATGTGCATCTGCAGTTCATCATTTGGAAGATCCTTCAGCTCAAAGGTCATGGGACTCATGAGTGCATTCCAATTGATGAATCTGGCTCTCAGGGCATTGAGTCACAAAAAAGGAAACATTCACAGGGTGCTAAGTCCAGTTCATTGGGTGGATGGTTGATGGTGATAATTAAGTGGCAAGTAGAAAGTCGGATACAATGGGGACACATGTTATGAAAACATAGTTCTGCTGTTTTTTTGTTGTTGCCAACTTAGCAACTTTTTAGTGTGCTGCTTGATCATGCCCATCAGTTCTTTTCACCAAAATTGACACCCTGTGACTGTTTCCTCTTCCCCTGGTTCATTTCCATGTTGAATGGAAGGAGATAAGCCAATTGGGACTCAGATTCCCCAATTGGTGATATGATTGTGTCTCATCACAAATGAGTTGCAGATCCATAAAAAAAAATAATAAAAAACCACCCTCCAGAAACACACGAAACAACTCTACACTTAATGAACATGTCCCATGACTCAAAAGGGGACAATGCAAAAGGTGACCATGTCAACTTTGTTAGGTACCATGGCAAACAATTTTTTTAAAGACAAACCAATGCAACCACAAAGTATTCAAGTCCAGTGCACTTTAGCCTCTTCCATATGTCAATGTCAGCATGATTCTCTTGGTAGAGAGAATGCATAACTCAAATGAACAACTGCTGCTGTCAATAGAGACTTTTTTCCAGTTACCTGAGGATTTTGAAATTGGGTGGAAATGGAAATTCCAAAATTGTAACTAGGTGTTCACCCAGTCACACAAACATGCCTAGAACCTTAGTCTCAGCAACATGACAGCTGACTGAAGAGGGTCAGCTGTCATGTTGTTGTTTTGTTTTGTTTTGTTTATGCTGAGGCCAGGCTCTTCAATGTGAACTTTAAAATATTAGATTAGATTTCGATTAGACATATGTATTATTTTTTTGTTTTATCGTAGAACTTGCAAAAAGTTAATTTAATTTATTCCAAGTGAAGCACAGAGCAAACAGAAGCATAGTAGGTCATGGTATTAGGTACTAGGCAGTTTATTTAATTAAGTTAGGGAATAGATGACGTGTCACATCTCTCTTGGATGAGAAACTCAGTGGATAATGAGCTTGGTTCCTGTGGCAGGGGACCTGGATTCAAACCTAGCCAAGTCATGCATATACTTCTGAGCTTGTGAAGAGAGGCCTCTTAGCACAGAGTGCTCCCATCTCATGAAGAGTATGAAGCAGAACTGTAGCAGTGAAGGTCAAACCCCAGATTACTGCTTGGCATAATTAGATCAGACAGTAAAGGGGGGTGAGCTGGTGCTTCTGAACGAGGGCATAGTCATGGGCCAAGAGCCCCTTGTACCTCCCATTCTCAGTCAAAAGGGGAAAAATGTTTAGCCTAATACCTTCTTGTTTGATGAAGACACATCATTTATGCATTTTTAACCTTCCATAATGAGAAAAATGAGTGAATATCTATCATTCACTATACATTTTCTTAGTGTTTGGCTCACTTCAGGTGTCCTTTTGATGTCAGATATCAGCAAGTTATATATTATATCAGGTCAACATATCTGTTTCACCCAATACTGGCTGAGACTGATAAAATATTATTGCATCACTGCTTAAAAATGGATTTTAACCACAAAACTTGCTGTAGCCCTCTATGGTGATGTCAGTTTCAAGAATATAAAGACAGATGGCAGTACATACCAGGAGTGAGATCAGAGTCAGGAGGGCGGCGGAGAGAGGCGGTTGGCTGGCCAAGAAAGCGAAGCCTTTCAGCTACCTCACACCGACTGTGCCTTTCCCTGAAAGCCTCATCCCTAGTGTCTTCCCACTCTTCTCCTTCCATCTGGGAAATGAAACACCAGTAAAAAAAATCAAACTTTCCAAACACCAACACATCTACCCTGTGACTTGTCCAAGTCAGAGTTTATCAGGTGAATAAAAATTTTGTAGATAGAAATTTTGTATATGGCCCTAACCCACAAAGTGCAGATTCTACACAGTACAGAAGAAATGATGAATTGTTCTTCCAGTGTAAAGCATTCTCTAATTCTTTTAAAATACATGCAAGATGCACAAGACAAAAGCATTTTTAGCAATGGAAATACACAAGAGAGCAGTCTCGGCTCTTATCTCACACGACACCACCTCAACACTTCAGAGATAAGTCACAGAGTGTGACCCATGCTGAGAGTTAAGATCCTGTCTTTCAAAGTGCAGGAATCATGAAATGAGATGAAGGCCATTTAACATACCTCAGTGCCACCATGACTAGCAGAATTCAATGGGGTGATCTCTTCCACAATCCACCTGCAACATCAGAACATTCTTGTTAATGCAGATTACCTCCATCGGTACTGTCACTGCAAACAAACCCTTTTTAATGATATTCCCAATTTTTCATTGCATTTTGAAATATGATAATGATGCAGTGTATCTTCCAGTAATTGTTTCTCAGCTGTTTCAAACAAAGCCACCCATATATCAAGTAGATGCACTACTTCAGGCAATAGGCCTCCCAGCATAAAAAGGAAACAGAAAAAAAGCTTTAAAAGCCTTGTCCTCCATAGGCAAGGTTACCACATAAATGCTTCATGGAATTTCTTTTTTGTAACGTCGCTTGGTAAGGGACTATGTAATTTGGTTGGTGGCACCTTCAAGAGGCTGTCAGCACATGAAAACCTGAAACCTCCTATGGTAACCAAATCCTGACAGCCTATCAAGATAATATCAGAAGAACCCAATGGCAAAATGGATCAAACTACATGAAACAATTCTAATACAATAAAAGTACCATAGAAAATTTACATAATGGAAAATAAATACCATACTGAAAGTATTATAAGATACTTAATATCAAAGAAATTAAGCAGTTGAACTAGTTTTCATTGGAGACAATATTCAATGGAGCCAAGGTCACAACTGCGCAACATTAGAAAATTCATATCATTTCTATATGACTGTAACACAACAAAACTCATGTCGTCAAATAGATCTTGGAATGCCGTCTCATATGAAATATATGTCACATATTTTATGCAGACCCCACATTGTGAAAAATGAGGTCAAAATTAGCTAGAATCACAAAAAGGAGGTACTCAACTTTATTTTTCGACATGTGGGAATGAAATTCGGACTCAACAATTGCTTATATTTCCTTCATCCCTTACCAGGAAATTTCTACAAATCTCTTGTTCTACCCCTTTACTTCACAAAAAAGCAGCATTTTCACAGGCAGACATAAGTCAAAGCCCAAGATTGGTGCACTCAATGCGTACCAACCACTCTCCCACCAATACGTTTCCTTGCATATAAATAATATTTAAATTCTCTTCATTTTATCGCACATGTGAAAAAGCTGCAGGAGAAAAAACAAGAATTTTAGGATGTTTAGAGAACACATGAGAGTCATGGAAAAATTTTCTTGCAGCACTATCTCATGAATTCCAAAGAATCTCAGAGCTGGGCATATTTTTTGGTCTCACTCAGTAATGGAAGTCCAGATCAGTGGTTCTTAGCTGGTGGGTCACAAGAGAATGAAATGAATTAAAGGTAAAAGAGAAATATTGAGAAGACAGAGATGAATAATAAGTGCCAAACCAAACTACAGGGCTATACTACTACTACTAAAGCTTGACTTTCCAGGAACAACCTAAGTTATTAATCCAGACAAGAAGGCAGCACAGGGAGAAGGCTTGCTGGAAAACAATTCCAAGAAAGAACAAACAGCTTTAAAATACCTTTTTAATCATTCTTGCCCTAAACCTTCATCCCTTGTGAACCCATCAATTCTGGCATTCCCTCTGTTTCCTAGATAATGTGGTTAAGGGTGATGCTGTTTTTGCAGGCAAATGCCTATATTTACTTTCTCTACTTTTTAGGGAGAGGGAGGTTTACAAAGTTAACTCCATTCATAATTTCCTTATTTAATTCAACATTCATATGCAATGGATTGCTTCCTGATAAAACCAAGTGCAAGCACTGGTACTAAGGGTAGTACCCCTGGTTACATCATTGAGACAGAGCTGAAGAAAAAGTCCTAACTGGTACCAATCCAGAAGATTGATACCTCCAGTGTGGTTTCACAGTGTCAGGAAGTATGAAACCAGAATGCTAAGTTTGTGGTGAACTGCTGGCCATCCTGAAGGCTTCAAAGTCAAAGCAGCATTTAAATCAAAATCACCCTACATTGAACCACTGGAGTTCTTTCAGAGGAAGATCAAAGAGGAAACTGAAAGGAATAATGCAGAAATCACTGGTGCCAAGAGCAATATTGAGAGTGTCATTTCCATATTTTAAAAATTCAAACAATTTTTTTCAAGAAGTTACACAGCTGCATTACTTCTGGAAGTTTCTAAATTTGTGGGTCACATAAAGATAGGAAGAGGATTTGATGGGTCATGATAGAAAAAAAGTTGAGAACCACTGGTCTAGATGCCACTCTCTGAAGTCATCTGGAAACCAGAGGCCTTCATGACACATTCTTACAAACCTTTTCTTCATAAGAGACAGCCTCATCACTGGTATTCATCAAATCCCCGCTGGCACAAAATGTTAACAAATTCAGAAGCGGTATTCATGCAATCATTTTGCATAAGAAACTTCATGCACACTTTATGACCACTTTTGATACCTTGGAACCATTCACAGAATTATGAAGATAGACTTTTATGAATAGAGAAATTATTTAGTATTCTTACACAGTTCCATGAAGATGCAAGAATCGTTATACAAACATTAGGGTTTATTTCATTTGGTGTCTCACTTAAGCTAATGGGTTATTGTCAGAATGTACAAGTGTCCCTTTCAGGCCCATCTTTAAATGTTTAATCTAGATCTCATCAGAAAACCTCCAGAAGAACACTTTAACAGTACCACCTGGCATTGACATTTTTCTGTACCTCTAATCGCCATTGCCACATGTCAGGAAACACAAAAGAATCAAGCAATCACATTATTATATACTAATCACAAGCTACACCCTCCCTTAGTCTTTGAAGGCATAGATGAGCTAAACCTTTGACCTTCATCATCATGGCCAAATGGTATATCCACAACAAATCATTTGTGCAGGAAAAATTTAAGAAAAGGGTGGCTTTTGCAAATTACATTTTTTAATTTTAAAAGCATATTTAGAACTGCAATTGTAATGCATGGAATGAGAGAAACAAATGCCAAGTTTCACTGTAAGGAGGTGAAGTACAGCAACATTCAAGGATCTCCTATTTGGCAATGACAGCTAGCCTTGGTTTTGGTGTGTTTATCAGGCTCTTGCCTTATCAAGTAAGGAGACCAGTGCTATTGAAGATTTATCAACAGTAAACAGCAAGACTAAACTAGTATTATTCTACTTTATTGTCCCCCCCTGTCAAAGGAAATTTTACTAGTAACTGATCATTCTGTCATGAAACAGATGTGATTATACTGGCATGAAATAAGTAATAACCTTGCCAGTTGTCTCAATATAACATAGCAGCACGTTGTGCATCATAACTTGCATGAACATTCTACAAAGGGAAATGGCATTTCTCCAAAGTTCTCCAAAAAAAAAAGAGAAATTGGATGAGGTTGGCTCCTTAGGTTGGTAATATCACATTTTAGACTTAAAAACCTTTTTTCAACTCCCATTTGCTTTCTACTATTCCCATGAATCACCTTAACCTTTCTCAGCCTAGATACTAGATTGCAATACTTGCTGCAGATTGCAATAACTGCTGGCACCTGGTCAAAATGAGAATATGATAGATTCTGAGGTGGAGGATCCCCTCTCTTTTCATTTGCAATGTTTATGTAAACAAGATGGATGAAAACTATTAAAAAATAACTAGTAACTTTTTTTCTACATCAAACAAATACATATGGCAACGTTAAGAAATGGAATATGGAGCCTTTTCATAGGAGTTCCTGAGGAATGCCATTCTAAAGGGTTTCATTTAAAACAATAGTTCCTATCTCTCAAAAGAAGAGCCTAGCATTATGACATAAAACAGTGACAGATACAGAAATTATTCATAGCAGGGGTCCTTCCCCATCCTCTTTCCTGCTGCATTTATCATTTTTCACCATTGTAAGCACCAGGAAATTCACTTCAAAGGCCATATTTAAATATAAAAATAAAATGCAACATAGTAAATAGAAACAGAAATTAAATGGAGGGGGCAGCAATACTTTTCCTGTATCTGCCACTGTAGAAACAACCAAAACAAAAATAAATTACAAAAAACAACTATTTCTTCCCAGTATAATTCCATTTCAAAAGTGACCAGGCCATCATTGAATATAAGCAACACACATACAGAAAAGCAAAAAGTGAGAAAGCAGGAGAGCAACAGCAGTGACCAGTCTCCACTGATGTACACAGGTGAAGTTTCCTCAGTGGTTTACATACTGCTCATTTGGATAACAGCTATGAAATCATATTAGAAGTGTCAAAGAATGTGCCTCTACCTATCAAAACCATGAGAGGAACGCTTACCCAGGAGTGACAATTTCTTTGTAGGGGAGGCGCTCAAATCGGATCGGAGCAGCATTGTATGGTATCACAATGTTGTTTATGTCAAAGGAGTGCTCTGACTGCCTCCGCTTTCTGTTTTCGGATAAAAGATGCCATTATAAGCATCAGCGAGTAACAACATAAAAGATATGGCCAGGCCTGGTTGCAAGAAACAGACTTGTCAAGATGGTTGTGATGATGCTTGCTTTCACTGCTGGATCGGCTATCACACTCAGAGCGCGATGGGGAATGCTCTCGGGATGCTGGGACAGACTTTGTGGCACTCAGCTTTGGAGCTGCTTCATCTGTATCTCCTGTTGATTTCATTGATTCTGTTAGATGGAATAATGGAGGGAACTCTTAGGCAAAAGGATGGAATAAGTAATAGAGATAATAAATAATAAGGGATGGAATAATAATAAGACTCACTGATGGGATAAGAAAGGAGGCACTTAGACAGCCACTCTTACTATTACTACATAGACAACAAGACAGAACTCACCAATAACAGCTTGGGCAGCCCTTCGTTTTCTCTTCAAACTCTCCATGTCTGTGTTAGTCAGTTTTGTCCCACTATCCATCAACGCCTTCTTGGCATCTGAAAAAAGGAGAGTAACTGCTTTGTCCAGTCTGTACAAACACACACGGATGAGGTGCCCCAAAGGGGCTAAATTTGACCCATTGAATGCCTGTTACAAAATCAGGTGAATTGTCCCCACAATAGGGGTGCCCACTTCGTAGGGTCTGTAGCAGAGAGAAGTGTGGAATAAAAGGGAGATTAGGAAAAAAATGTACATCAACTCCCAGTTGATTTGCCCAAATTTTATCTTCTTGTGCTAGTGTTCAAAAAGTTCTTATCAGAGTTAAAGCAGCTCAATTATTATCCAGTCAGTGAAAATTAGGTTTCTCTTTTGAATGAAAAAAAAAACAAGAGAGTGCAATTTCTTCATCATTGAACCAATCCTCATCAGGATTATCAAAAACATACTCTCTCAACTAAAATTAAAATGAAGTTCAGAAAGAACAATAGAAAAAAAGAGGGAATACCGCAAGGAACACTGGAAGAGAGCACAGAAGACCAAATTGTAGAATGAATTCATACAAAAATATGGCATTTCTACAGATGCAATGTTTTGCTCTTCCCATGACAAAACCGAAAAAATTTTGTAGTGTGCAAATACCATTCCAAGACATCTAAAGCTTTATGGTGGGATTTTTGCTGCCTTTAATAACAACTGAGCAAACAAAACTATTTGTCCCATATGTTCCCACTTCATTGAAAAGGCCAGAGCATTTAATTAGACCTTTAAAAATAAGGAAGCAGACCATGAAGCCCTTGACAGCATTCTCATTAGAAACTTTGCAGAGAATTATTCCACTTTTGTTCAAATTCCATACCATCCCAGGTTGATGAAAACAAATATAAGTTGTGGAATGTGCATTCTTTCAAATAAAAAATCATGAACAACCTTTAAACCTTTCAGCAACACAAGCATGGATGAATTCTGCTTTACGTAATTTCAGTCACAAAAGAGGATATTGTTGCAACAAAGAGAACTCGGGAGAATATTCTATCTGACAAGGCTGGTTCTTGGGACACAGAAGATTCATTAGGGTCACCCCTTTCAGCCAAGAATAACTCAAAGTTCTTGCAGTCTCAAAGCAAGGAGACTGCTGTTTTAGAGCTACCACTGGAAGGGCCATCTGTCTTTGTTGCTCATCCCCTTCAAAATTCAGCAAAATGGAACACTAAGTGATAGGACACCACTTGCAAGTGCACCTTGTAGCCTTGCAATAATCTGCTCTTAGATTAGGTCACTCAGGAAATCCTAATAAATGCACAGTAGTGTTCACAACTTAATTACATTGCTATAATAAAATAAAAACTAACAGAGCCGCACAAAAGTAAAATGACATTAATGAAATAATTGGTGAGGTATATATTTAAAAATTTACACAATGACTTAGTAAGCAGAGCAAAAAGTGCACTGAAGCATGTTAACATAACAATTTCCATATGACAGATGGAAACTTTTTAAGTGCCCCTTGTAGTTTTGGGTCAATATGTCCTGACTTGCATAATATCCCAATTATTCTGCATTTTAAAATTCTTAGCAGAATTCATAAAAAGATGTCACCTGAGTTGTCTCCAAATAAAATACTTTCAAAATTACAAATCTTTAAAGTGAGATCAGCAGACTGCAACCCCAAACTTTAACATCAATGTAACATTTGACAAATTAGTCTTGAACACAGGATGGCTTTGATCCATGAATCTGGACCAACTTCTGTGAACTGAATTGCAGCCATATCTGAAGGAGAGCTATGTCTACTGACATTATGCAAGTTGATGAAAAATGGGCCTATGTGAGTTACACAAGTTTACTAAAGGACTTCAAAGACTCCAGGGGATCTTTCAAGATCCTTTCCTGCCAGAAAAGAGAGAGAGAAAAAAAATGTGGCTGCTCATTATTAGAGAGCCCACAAAGTTTATTAGCTCCAAAACTTTGTGAGCACAGGCATATTATATTTACCTCCATACAAAGTTGCACATGCCAAGAAAAACCTGCACCAGGAAATAATGGAGAGGGTTCATATGAAAATTTTCTAAGTTCACCAATGAAAGTCAAGATCAGGACTCTTTCTTAGCTTCCTTTATAGGCAAGATTCTGGTCATCTGATATTGACATACAGAACAGCAATAATAAATGATGGGCATGGGTCAACTCACATGAGGAAAGAGACTTGGTTCTTTGGATAACTCGACGGTGAGATGGAGTGGTGGGGGTCTTCCGCCCTTCCTTTGGATGATCTACATCATTGCGTTGTGGGATCGATGAAGACAATTCCTGGAAGAGACCCATTCGCTTCCTCTCATCAACCTTCAGCAGACCTTGTAACTGAGCCCCAAGGGTCACATCTACAGGAGGAGAAATAAATATCATTTGACTGCTGCATTTGAAGAATGTGTTGCTCTTCCACAACTGTAGAATTAAGAAAAATATGCGAGTGAGAAAAAAACAACAAACAAGCAAGGCATCCTTATCAGTATCATAACCCCAATCAAGTACACAGGTGAGAACAAGGATTTGCTTAAAGATTTGAAAGCATCCACTCCTAGGTGAACATTGGCAATTACAAATTTAAACCTTTCACCTTCATGGGCAATAGCTGGTGAACACTACCATTGGTCTCAACCCATGATGACATCACTGAAGACAGCATATCACTTTTGGGTAACCTACATCTGTGGATCCCACATATTCTGAAAGATAGTAAAGTTAGCAATTGCAGCATTTAGCTTGTAAATGTTTTCCTAAAGCATGCCCCAAGCAGCATAATCATTATAGTGTAAATTAATATTATGCTATAGCTGAAGTCTGGTTTCTTCACAGACAATTGATTCATCTTTCAGTAAAACAGCATTAAATCCTAGGTATCACATCAGAACATCAACATCAAATCATCAATTGGCAAAAAATATTTTTTGACCTTCAACAACTGTCATGTTCACCACCATACCCAAGAAATACCTGAGAAGGCTGTTCCTTTTAACCCCTTGAATACACTATGCACACATAGGAAATCATGTTACCAATACACATGATGCTCATAGGTTGCTCACAATGGGGAAAGTATCACACGAGGAAGTAAAATCAGAGGTAATATCATTTGAGTAAGAGAACATCAGCAGAAACAAAAAATGATCTTAAAAAACAAAATCCTGGCATATGGCAGGCATGATACTGTTCAAGGGATTAAAAGCTATACTACCCCCAGCTAAGGAAATCCCCATGTTCTAGGTCAAACATTATAATAGGTTGAGGAAAAAGTTTGTGCGCCATATTAAAATAATGATTTTTTAATATTTTTTTGTGTTTTTGATCTGGTTTCGTGGCTATTATGAAATTTTATTGATTTTTTAAGATGTCTGATTACGAAATCACAAATTTTGAGCTTCACGTATTGCTGCGTCATTATTGGAGAAAGAATTTGGATGCAAGAGCAGCTGCCAAAGCAATTTGCGACGTTGAAGGTGAAGGTACGGTGGCACTGCGAACTGCACAGAAATGGTTCAAGCGTTTCAATGAAGGCGATTTGGATCTTGAAGACAGGCCACGTTCCGGACGACCAACGGTTCTGGACGAAGGAGACTTGCAAGCCGCTTTGGATGTTGAGCCGTCATCAAGCACACGTGAATTGGCTGAAGAACTTGGTGTCCATCAGAAGACAGTTTGGAATCATCTTAAGCAACTTGACTTCGTCCACAAAAAGCCACGACAAGATCCACACGAGTTGACCGAAGCGCAAGCTGCCAAACGAGTCGAAATTTGCCGCCAATTGCTCAACAATCTGTTGGATGACCGTTTTTGGAAGCGAATTGTGACATCAGACGAGAAGTGGGTCTACCTGGTCAATCACGATCGAAGCAAGCGTTGGGTCCCAAAAGGTCAAACTCCTCCATCCATTCCAAAGCAAAATCAATTTGGAAAGAAGATCATGATTTGCGTTTGGTGGAACTTCGAAGGAATCTTGCATTTTGAACTTGTGCCGAATGGTCGCGCCTTCAACGCTGAACTTTACTGCGAGCAACTTGATCGAGTCTACGATGCGCTGGTTGAAAAATACCCAAGTCTTGTTCGTCGAAAACGCGCTTTGTTTCAACAAGACAATGCAAAGCCACATACCACCAGAAAGACCAGCAACAAGTTTAAAGAATTGGAGGGTGTCGAAGTTCTGCCGCATCCAGCCTATAGTCCAGACGTTGCTCCATCTGACTACGGTCTCTTCCGATCAATGCAGCACTTTATGAAAGGTCGCCAATTTGAGTCATTCGATGAAGTTGAAGAAGCATGTCAAGAATTTTTCAATTCAAAGCCGAAGGAGTGGTACTTTGACCAAATCCGAAAGCTTGCAGATCGTTGGCAGAAGGTCGTGGACAATGATGGTCTTTATTTTAAAGAATAGTTGTTGTTCTTCTTGAATAAATTCTTGCATAAAAAATCATTATTTTAACACGGCACACGAACTTTTTCCTCAACCTATAAGGTAAGTGAGAACTCAACTATGTTAACAAAGGCTTCTCCCCATGGAGGACCAGACACAATAATCTTTGTGCAGTCGAACTCCATTAACAGGAATTAGCATATACAATGGGCTGGAAACCACAAGATGATCCGAAGACCTCCACAAGCTCAACATAGACCTCCATCTTCAGGCAAGGCAAACCAGAAAGTACAAAGAGATCAAAAAAGACCAGGAACCAAAAAATGAGGCAGGGGCTACTTAAAAAGAATGCAGCTTTGTAAGGAAATTGAGGTAAAAGAAAGCTGATTTAAACAAATTTAATCAGTTGATCAGATACTAAGCAGATGGGGAAGAGGGGAAATACAAATGTGTTTTAGTAGATCAACAGACACATCTTTAAGTATATGTGGGTATTCTTTTTTTTTTTATAAATGCCACAGTAGGTAATTGCTCTAAAGATAAACTACTTCGGCATGGACATGCCTTCGGATTGCTGCTATATTTGGGACTGTTGTGATGCAAACTGCAACCTTCTATGCTTTCAGTTGATGTTATGCCAAACAGATGTTTTGACATGTAATCCAAACCCCTTAGTTCTTGGGTTACAGTCTTCTCATGAACCAGCATCTCCGAGACTTGATAGAACCTGAAATGTTGCCAGTGAAAAGCCTTGGCTCACCATCCTTATAATTAGACTGTTCGGGAAACACTTTACATTACAGTCTATAGCTTCAGAATTTGTGGGATCTGGAAGATCAGTTCACTGAAGAGACAGATGTTATCTCCCATTGATAATGTATATGGTTATTCACTGGTACAAGTCAAGATTGACTGTCATATGTAGAAACAACAGAAGCCACATTGAACATCGAACATTGATGGCTTAGCCATCAATGGGAAATGTTCAATATGGCTTCTGCTGATTATTTAGATTATTTGGATACATTACTCTTCAGTAGATTCTATTTGTATTTATGTTATGAATGAATGCCAGAATAGTCATGTCTAGCTTTTTTTGCTGTTACCCACATTGTACAAGGTGCCATAAAACCTTTGCCCCTCCTAGATAAAATAACTGTGTCATGGTGAAGCAAAACAAAATTAATTTTTAACAAAGCACTCAATTCCACATTTACTGAACACTTAGTATAGAGAGAGCTCACCACTGGCCTTGATGACAGCATGAAAATGTGGTGGGACTTCAGCAAATTTAGGAAGAAGTCAGCAACAAAAAAATTGGAAGAAGAATTACAATGTGTTTCAATATCAACTATGAAAAATGCGCTGCTCTAGAGGTCCATGGGCCACTAGATCTTCAACTCCATTTTTCTACACTGAACCTGTCTTTCCACCAATACATATTTTAAGGAAATTCCATGGGAATTCTGTATGCTGAGGAAACTAATTTGAATGATTTTCAGATGCTTCCCAGTGGTAAAGGATTCCTACCTATCTCACCTTCAAGTTGTCATCAAGGCAGGTGATAAGTTCACACAACATTGATATTCATGTCTGAATGCTAAAATCTTTAGTAAATTGTCCTTCCTTAGGCTCCTTATGGGGGAAAAAGAGCTCATTAATTTAAAGCCACTTCATCTTGCCTAAACAAGGTTTCACCAAGGCCTTTAGCAAGTAAATATTTAAAAATATCCACTTTGCATAAACATCACATAGATCTGCTTGAGAAGGTAGTCAAAATTTTGTGGCACACTATAGAGGGTGGCAAGATATGATTTTCTCCTCCTTCAAGGTATATAATTGCCATAAAAGGTATTAATCAAATTAGAATACATATAAATGATGTTTAGTGTATGACTGGAGTCACTGTTCTCCATTGCCCTTCAATTGAAGACTAAATAAGGAAATTGGAAATGTCCAACATGAAAGCATTTTTGCAGTGCCAACAGAGCCAGAATGTTTCAGGATTTCTGGGAGGTTACTACAATCCCCATACACTTACAGATGCCATGATTTTCCTCAAAATCAGAACCCAAAACTTCTGCCACCTCCTAGATTCTATATCATTCCTTTGCATATAAGCTCTTAATTTCCTAACCTTCAGGCAAGGAAAGGACATGATGATATGAGACATCACAGGATGCCACATTTTCCCAGAAGGACCTCTTCCGCAACTTGGAATATGAGTGGTCTTGGATAGGATCATCTTTGGGAGGACAACTGTCCATGCACAGACAGCGGGAACCCGGGCCCAAATGTAGAGAGTGTCTTTTTCTCCTAGGATACCTTAGCAGTGGCACCACCCTTGCACAGCAGTCCTGCTCAGCCCACTCCTTCTCACCATTCAGCTGACTGTCAAACAGAAATTTTGTGATGCACAAAAATACTAAAAACCAAACAAATTTCATGATGCTATAAATACTCCAGTCAAATAAAATAAAAGGCTAACAATGATTCATTAAAATATCACTAAATATAAATACATTATATGACTTAAGTCACTCCACATGACAAATAAAAATTAACTTACGATTAATAACAAATCATTAGGAAGCAGATTTTCGTGCAAAAGCAGATTTTTTCTACTCTCATTGGAGTATGCAACACAGAAAAAGGCATGTATTATTAGTGGAGAAAGCAATTAATGCCATTATAAAAATGAAAAACATGCAATATAAAATATTACTAGTATCTGAAGTGTCTCAAATATGCAGATAAAAATTTTCATCCCAATCCATCAAATTAAATATACTGAACCCTTACAAAACATCAATAGAGTATCAACAGTCTAATTGGTGCCAAAACAAAGAAGCTGGCAACATGATAGTAAAGCAAGGGCAGGCCATATCCAAAGGATAGTTTTGCTTTACAGTCATGAGCTCCTGACAGAAGCTGTTCCATAAAGAGACAGTAGATGGCCATATGTCCTGACTAACTTATATGCTCCCCAACATCAAACACAGGCCACAAACTGCTCTCAAAATGCTGCATTGATAGAATTTAAGGATTCAGCAGTCTGGGTCACCAAAACCCATACAGAAAGATCATGTATGGCAGTTATATGCAATTATCTAAGCCTAAATTCATATATTTTTCATGCATAAAGACATGGTGATACTCCAAGGACGTCTCCAACTGGATAACTTCTCCCAAGGTCTTTATGGAACATTTTAAGGACATCTTCAGTTGGATGGTTTCTAACATCTTGAAAGGGATGTTTTTGAGCCTTCTAGTTGTCTTTTAGACATCTTCAGTCAAAGAATACCATATGGGATAACCCTTTCAAAACACAGGGTTGTCCTGTATGGCAGGAAATGAGTCTGTTACAGAAAGAAAAGTACCCCAGATATCTAGATATCACTGAGATGTTCCTGGTAGTTATCTCTGGGACTTCTCACTTGTCCCAAGGGGATATCATTGGGATGTACTCATACTGTATTGGAAGTGAATGGTATCTGTATTTTCACAGAGAATGAGTACCAATTCTCTGCTTAGTTCCTGAAGTAATTTTTAACATTTAGGAGACTTGAGAGGGTAAATGATTTCAAGCATGTTTCATATGCCATTTGGTAATGTCTCCAAGCAGGGGTGACATATAGGGCCCACTATGAAATACATAGACATACTAAGTTATACAAGATCCTTTTCTGATCCTCCACATCTTTTTCATACATGTTTTTTGTAAAATTATTAGGGGTTTATTCATTGGGTTTCGTGAAAACCCAAAAAAGCACAAAGGGAAGGTAGCGTACATTCTATACCAAGAATGTCAAGGTAGAGTGCATGCTATACTGGCACCAGTTCTTATATGGCCTTACCATGTATATGATCATATACTCAACCATACTTGAGTTTGGTCTCTGATAGTGTCTTCTTGTTATTTTGGCATAGTTCTTCAAGTTATAGTGCTTTTTAGGTCCATAGCATTTCCTTCAGGAGATGGATGACACATCACACCTAGGAGCCTTTTTTTTTTCTTACAGGTTAAAGATGTACTGACTTCAATATCAGATAACTATGAACACATGTGGAGAAAAACCAAACACCTGTAATGGTGCACTATTTTGTTTGCTATCAAACCCAAAACACTAACAGATGTGCACCTTTTTATATTAATTTTGCTTATCCATTATTCGTTTATCCTCCGGTCCAGGTTTTGTGGACTCCTGGATCCTTGCCTTACATGGACCTTGTATGGTTGAGAAATGCAGGAACAGCTTCATGAGCACTGCCTAAGTGACCAATGAAAATTTTTTATCATTCAAGTGATGAGAAGCATAATAAGATATTCTCCTGACAGTTTATGGTTACTTTTTGGGTACGGCTTCAATGGTGAACTGAACATATGAAATGACAATAACAAGACCTAGGTGAACTCAGCATACTACTAAGCTAATTTCCAGACTACACTGTGCTTTGAGAAGGTACTGGCATTGTACATTCAGCATTTTAACAACATTTGACACGTTAGTCAGTCATAGTACCAAGTCAATTGCAGCAATCCTCTCCCAAGATGCTGATAGAACTAGAATTTGCTTCATGCCATTTGAAGACATTCCCTTAAGTCACCAAATGTACATCCTATGGGCATTTAGGCCCTTCAACTTATGAAAGTGCACTTGGGACGCACCATCTTTGCATTTAATGGTCCTCAGAAAGTTTTTATGGAGGAATGGAAAAAAATACAACTGTGTTGCATCACAATTTCCTCCAGAGAGGAGGAAGCTCCAAAGCTCCACTGCATAGTTTTGTGCTTTGCAACAAGGTCATGAAACAGAGCACAACCAAGAGTGAGAGATCATTGAGACCAATTTGGTATGAATCAAAATATAGCCATTATATTGCAATGAGCCCTAGCAAAAAAATTATTGTGCATTACACCATTGCTATTAGAATATTTTCTGTATTAGAGGGCATGGATAGTGCTTACTTCTAGAGCAAAGAAATGCTAAAATATGAACTTAAGTTTGAAAAATAAATTATCTATTGAGTGACTCCAACATATCCTCAAAATTACTGAATCTGATTTGGCTACAATAAAAAGAGGGAATAGAACCTCATTGTGTAGCCTCATTTCCCTCCAGTACTTCAATACCATCACTACCATATGACCCACCAATGGGTCATATGCCAATTGTCGCAGCAGGCACAAAAAAGTGCCAACCAGCAGGTGTTAAGTAGCCTGAATCCTCACTACACAGATCAGGACTAACCTGGACAGTTCCTTGTATTTCTTCAACTTCAGGTCTAAATCAGCCAATTGAAGCTGCAGCCAGCACCACTTTGATGCTAATGATGCCCGATCTGTTGCCCATTTCCAAAGTGCTCTCTTCTCCCTGTGGACAATCGAGGTATGGAAGTTGAATTGGAATTGAAGTTTATAATAAACACATTTTGTTTCATTCATTTCAATCTAAAGCTTTGTCATGTGAAGCCCCATGAACTCTATGGAACACTAGCCTCTTGAGGCCTGACAGAGATTGTACATGCCATAACTTCTATGCAGACTAGTTTGGAGGACCACCCAAATGTCCTGCACTTGCACATTCTATAACAAGATGAACCTCATACTGGGACAAAGAGAATGTGTGAAATGACACAGACTGCCTCCATGTTTTGTATAGGAGAGCAACCTGAGTGCCTCAGAAAAAAATTGCAAGTAACCATGTTTAAAAAAAAAAAGGCCTATCCCAATGCAAAAAAGGTGCCCAAAAAAATATAGCCTCTACATTCTTTGTAACCAAAAAGTCCCCATGGGGTCTTCAAGACAAAACTTAAAAAACCTTTCATCATATAAGGGAATGAGTTGAAACTACATTTACAAATACAGATTAGAGCTTTATATAACATATCAGGAGTTTCATAAAATGCTCCATTTGGTCCAATGTCTCTGAAATTGTCAACATTCACCATTTCAAGGGAAAAAAATATGTGGAACAAAGGAAAAGAGCAACCATGCTTATTTGCAGATCTTAAACAAGTTAGTTAACCCATTGAGGGGCACACATGTGTATATAAGTTATAAATGTTTGAGCTCCCAAGGTGTGCATATATTTGCCACACCCTGGTGAAAGATTAAACTGTGAAAAAAAATTACCAGGAAGGCAAAGGATTCAAGTAATAAGTGAGCCTCATTCAAATATCCAACCAAAATCCAAAATTTCTTACAACATAAAATGAACTAAATAAAATGCTCTTTGTTATTTCATTTCCCCCTATATTTGCTCCCCAACTTAATCCTCAATGGGTTAACAATTATCTCCATTTGTCTTTTTTTTCCTTGCAAGTATGACACATTTTGGAACATTGAAAGCATGGTAAACTTTGACATTCTGCAAAAATTCAAAAACACAATATACATCACATATTTGGATGATTCTTTTTGAGATGAAGAAATCTGTATTGAAAGTATGTTCTTATGAACAATAATATGCATTAATAAAGTAGAAGTAGAACTGTACCAATATAAAAAGCATTCATAAAGTGATCCTAAAAATGATCAATTACAAGAACATCTACATTGTTAAAGTCTGAATAATGATTACACCCTGGATAAATCAGTGAGTTACAACTGCATTTGAGACCTCTTGAAATTTTGCATGCCCATTAAGCAACATCAACCTGCCAATTACATGAATTTTCAAGGTAGTTATTTTAGGATTGCAAAAAAAGGGAAATTGTCACAAAATAAGCAACCATCTACAAATTGGTGTCCATGCACCAAACTTCATTCTGCCTTCAACCCAGATAGTCAAGGTAATTGACCTGGATGGGAGTCATACCCATTACACTAAGGCCTCAAAGCAAAGAGAATTGATAACTTACAACTGCGGTGGAGTTCCAGAATAATCACTGGCATGACTGTCATTCACTGATATCAAGTGCTGCTTCTTCTTATACCCATCAAATTCATCACAACTTTCTCCTCCAGAGCTACTATCAGTCAAGTCATCTTCATCAGGTTCACAAGTCTGTGTCTGCTTTGAGAGCCTTGCAGCTGCATCTAACACACGACTGGCATCCCGGCTACTCTTCCATCTAACTATCACACTGGGAACGGAATTGGTGACACCATTCACAGAGTCTACACCAAAGTGCCCCGCATACGAGATCTGCCTCAAAGGCACACTGACACTCGCCTGTTCAATCTTGCGAACCAGGTTCAAAAGCGCACTGATTGAGAGGGATCCAAGGTTGGGGAGTTCCTCAAGCTCTTTGTACAAGCCAACCAGGAAAGGATCTTGGGTTCTATGGACGCTCTGCACCTGAAGATTCTCAACCCCATACTGCACCAATCTCTCCAGCTGGTCCTTGATGTTCTTGACGACAAGTCTGGTCTGAAGCCTGCGCAATCTACGCAAGATAGCCTGCTGCCTTCTTCGCATCTCCCATTCCCTCTGCCTCACATCATCCAAGGATCGATCCCTCAGGGCAACCTTAGATGTTCCAGTCCTGTCGATGGTCTTCTGCGATGCTGTGATAGTTGAAGCTTCAGAATGGAGAGCTGTCACAAGACCCACTGCAGCTGTGATTCCATTACTAACCTTAGGGTGAAACTTTCCTTCAACAGGACCAGGAATTTGGATTTCCCTGCCACACGAGGTTGAGAGGGTAACTCGTTGAGGAGTGCAGCTCATCCTTTGAGTTGGGGAATAGTCTGCAGCAGCAGCAGCAGATGTGAAGGAGTCAACAGCATCCGCATAAGTCAGACCGGGATGCAGATAGCCGGATGTCAGGTCTCGCTTCACACTAAGGTATCCCTCAGGGTGATCAACCTCTACTGGAGGTGAGGATGCTGTTGGTGGCGACTCTGGAACCTGACACTGACTAGACTCCGACAGGGCCGGAGCCATTGTCTTTCTTGAGCATAGGCCTTGGGGGAACACTCGCTCACAATGACATCATGTGACAGATGGAATGAATGTGTAAATGTGAGAAGTTGATGCACCACCCAGCATCCTCTCTAACCTCTCTTTGCAGCATTAAGTCTCTCACTGGCATGGCGCATTCTAGTAGAACAGGTATAATCAGCAGGGCATATAATAAATCCATGATAGTCTAAAACTTACATGCCATAGAACTAACTATTCTAGAACTTGGAACTCCTTAGGAGCTGAATTTGATTTAGTTCCATTGCATATTGCTTGGGTTTACAGTCAAATCAGAACTAAGTCTCATCACTGAAAGTATTATATCACAACTCAACATTTCCTTTAAAGAACTATCCCTGTGAAATTACACACTTTTGCCAGCATCCATACACCTTCTCAAATGCATCCTGGAATCAATTTCTTGAAAAGCATCATCAAAGTTTGCATCAGAACAGTTTTCACCTCATAGACATTTGCAAATCTTTGTCCCTTCATCATCTTCATTCTGAGGAAAAGATAAAAATCACATGGCTCTAGATTGAGAGAGTATAACATAGCGGAAATGGTAATATTGCCACAGAGTGTTGGGTGAGGAATGCTTGGACCTGGAACAATCAATGTGCAGGTACATTGTCATATAGCAATTTCCATGTTGAGATGCCCAGAGATTGGGTTGTTCAATTACTGCACTGTCTCCATTTGCTTCTAGTATTGTCAAAGCCTTCTTTAGCATTCATACATGATAAATTCTATGTTTTTACACTGCTCAATAACTGACATGTTGCCTGTTTGAATGTCTCACTACAATTGCCTGTACAAGCATGGTGTACGCGCAGTGGTGCTCAGGTGCACAGCAGGGGCAGAACTTCAACCTATAGTGATTACATTCATAACAAGTTTACTGATAATTTCACATTTAGATAAAGGCTGCATGTAAAGAAATGCATAAATAACAGCTTTCCAATGCTACAGGAAGCTATCTCGTACGTGAATACCAGAAGTACTCATAACCTTGGTAATCTTAATAACACTAGCCATGAAAAGGAAAACTTGGAAAATAATCACTACAAATACCCCTTAATGCATATAAACAAATCAAACTTAGTTGTGACATAAAATTAAATGTGATATACTCCTCTTAAGGGTAGACAAACTCCTCCCTAGTAGTCATACACTAAATTTTTTATTATCTAGCATTTATTTGATCTTACAAATTCTTCAATACAACAGTGGTGAAATGTACCTGAAAATGACTTTAAAATAATCAGAATGGTAGGATCAAGGACCACAGTTTTCATTGAAATCATGCAGCTGCCTCTGAGTGAACGAAGTGAGTATCAAGTTTGCTCAATGTTCTCTTAAAATAAAGGAAACCATTGATGAGACTAGATGCAGAATGTAACGAAACCAGTCATCATTTAATTTGGCCCTTTCGTCCTAGACCGAAGCTGGCGTGCTCTCAAACAACGATGGGGGATACGGAAACCTAGGCCTATAGAACTCAGCGCTTTCGTAAACGCCCTCAGCCGATGCAGAAAACGCGACTGAAGCCTGAGTTTCTTCAGCCAGAAGCCGTGATCCTGGATGAGCCTTTCGAAAGACTACCCTATCAAACACAAGCAGAAATTCATAGCCTCACTCCCAATCTAGGCCTAGGTCTATCGTATGCTTGAATTAGGCATAAGTCTACGCTAAGCTATAAGTGACGAGGAGCACAAGAGGATAGGCCGAAGCCCGAGGCGTGTTTCGAGTCAGGGCCTGCTTGCGTCGCGGTACAGGCAAGTAGCTGACGAAGTGCGAGTCCATAGCACGGTCCGTGATACGAGGCCTAGCTCGCACATGCAAGGGAAGCGAAAGAGAGAGAAAAGGGAAGAGAGGGGGAAGAAGGAAGAATGGAGGTGAGCGTGCGCCGATGAGACATCGACCTGACGAGAGAGAGAGAGAGAGAGAGAGAGAAGGGGGGGGGGGGGGGGAGAGAAGCAAGTAATGGAAGTCATTACTGTTGCGCTTATGTTTGCAAATAGGAAATATCGAGGGACGCAGAATGCATAAGAAGGGGGGAAGAGAGACGCATCTCAACAAGCGCACCCATTGGTCTGCTTACTCGCGGCCATGTTCCCGTTCCTCTATGGAGACCTTCCCCGTCCTTTTTTCCCTTTTCCCCGCTCACACCTCTACCGCCGGTACCACACACTAACCCACAGACTCAGTATGGAAGCAAGGGATCCCAATTCAACCCACAAATGGATTCTATAAGGATTTAATTCACTGGGAAGGAGAGGGCCAGGTTGGGACGCACCTTCCCCCTCCCGTGTTCACTCGTAAATGAATAAGCGAAGCGTCATTGTTAGCTAGTCCGATGACGCGGTCGCCAGTGTTGCCGCTCGTGGCTCCGTCTCGTCCTCACTTCGAACTTCTCTATCCCAAGCAACTTCATCGATGGTTAATTAATACTTTTTTACCATTCTGCTTTTGCATGAAATTCTCTTAAATCCCTTTATGGCATCTCACTGCCCATTTCTGAGTATCCATAGAACATTCAATTTACAACTCCGACATCAGCGTTGCTTCGAGTGCGTGCTTGCTGCGTTCCAGGAGCTTTGGGTGTTTCTCGCTCGCTTGCTCTATCCCAATTTACCGATCCGAGTAACTTTTAGAGATTAGTATAAGCGAGTGGAATGACCTATAGGTACCTTGGGGTGCTTGGGTGTTTCGTTCAAAAGAGAACGAAATACGAGTCGCAATTGGTTGCTATGAGTTCGTGAAATACACAGTTTTTTTCATTAAGTCGTCTCAGTCGTTTCGGATGTCGCTGCTGTCGCAGTTCTTAGCCTATACGCATGCGAGCGAACGAGATGGACTCACCGTGACTAAGCCTAGGCCTGTACCTAGTCGATAGTACCGCGCCTATCGTTGCCGATGTGCGAACCCCAAATGTTAAAATGAGTCTGAAAGACTCGTTCAGGGCCGCCCATGGGGGGTGGGGGGCATCGGGGACAATATGCTCCGGGCCTCGCGTACCAAGGGGTTCCAAAGGGCCTCAAGGGGTCCCTGGAAACTTCTGGGAGGCGCTGCTCATGTTACTTAAAGTACGATTATCGTTTGTTACGTTTGTGAAATTTGGAGAGGTGATGCTTTCTTCCACTAACCTTCTTATGCATTCTGCGTCCCTCGATATTTCCTATTTGCAAACATAAGCGCAACAGTAATGACTTCCATTACTTGCCGCTCGTATTTTTCCCACCTCACTGTAGGTTTAATATGATGGCCTTCTGAAGGTGTCTGCATCTATTTAAAAATTACGGGGATTTTCTGTTGTTTCTCGTTGCTTTATGAATTGGGGAATCAAAATTAAACTTGTGCTCGTCCAAGTAACGAGCATACTTGCTGTTAACACAATATTTATTTCATCCTAGTGAAGCACCGATACGTAAGTAATGAATTCTTCGACGAGGAAATTTCTGCAAATTGTAATAAAGGTGCCACAGACAATGAGTTATTTATGATAAATTTAAAAAATTGCGTTTTCTCTTGAATAGAAGTTTTCATGAAATCATACATCATTTTAAATGATGTCTCATGTCAAATAAATATCATTTTATTCAAATTTGAAGGGTTTGAAGAAGTTTGGTTAGGTTAGGTTACAATGAAGTTCCTTCACACTTGAAGGAATGAAGTTTCTTTCAGAAAGCGTATCCAATACACTAATAGATGAATGAGTGTGCCGGGAAAAAAAAAAAAAATATATATATATATATACAGTGGTACCTCGCATAACGAACGCAATTCGTTCCAGCGGTGCAAGTCGCCAATTCGCGAGCGGTGGCGTTCGGCTTCGCGTTGAGGGCGTTCCGCAGGGCTTCGTCAGAAAGTGTTGCAAGACTTTCTTTCCAACCCAATATATTAATGCAATATTGAAAAAATATATAGAGTCATGCTCGCAGATATGACTGGTTAGGGAAATGTGACATCTACTACACGAACTCCGTTGCATAAATCACTGCATGGGGAAAACCCGGGGGCAGGAGAAAATAAAAGTTTTGGAAGAGAGAGGTCTGAAGGAATGAAAGACCTACGCAAGCCGTGGTGCTGATAAAACAGGTGAACGAGACTGAAAAACTAACTTTGCAAGATTCTAATTTCATCAGAGTAGAAGGAATAGGGCGTGGAAGAATATATGGCAACGCTGCATAGATTTGGCAACGTAGCACTCAGGCCTCTTCTCTCCTGCCTATGTCTCATTTCGTTCACTTCGCTGCGAGACTGCCCTTTCCCCCTTGATTCCTCCATCCCGCTCTGGTGATTAGAAGCAGGTTAGGCCAGAGAGGTTGGCCTAGGTTGGAACTGCACATGCTCCGACTTACTAGCAATAGGAGGGAAGCCCGGGCCCAGCAGTCCAAGACGGCAATCTTTCATCCTTTTCTTATGGCTTTACTTGTTTCCTGTACTTCGCCAAATTTAATGACTCTCACGAGGAAGCCCAAATATTATTCTGGCTGGAGGCATTCCGAAACATTGTCATATAAAAGTTAAGATGGAGTAAAAATGACACATTTACGGTCACTCTTGAGGCTCTCTTTCTTGTCTGACCCAGGTTAGGCCCAGCCTAGCGTGCCTACCCCGACGAGCCGTCACTGCCTCTGTAGCGAACCCCAGTGGGTCACAAGATATGGGGCACGAATGCCTCGCTACATATGGGGATCAGACCCAATGTGGTCGGATGGTAATCAAGAAGGTTGCGTGTTCTTATAGATGGTAAATTAGCGAGGGAGAAGCGAAGTCTCAGATCTCCATAGTCTCCAAGTAGGAAGGAAGGTACGTCCTTAGATCAACGTTAACAACTGTGCAGAATTTATTAGGATACTCAGTGGGGAAAAGACCGGAAGGAGAAATACAGGGAGATACAGTCTCACGTTCGTAGTGGGGGACTCCACCGCACTTCGTCCTGATACGTGGACGATCGAATCTGTTGGTTCCTGGCCGCCGACCGTGGTCCAGGTCGTCGGCTCGTGATGATTCCACAGCAGTTCGGGGCTCACACTGAGTCCACTGAGTTGACCGTATGTGAGGGTCAGGCTGCGTGACTCGACACGCCACGTGTTGTCCGGCCGAAGGGTCCTGGCGCACTCACGCCCCCACG